TCTCCGTGACAAAAGACGACCAAAATATCTATGATGGCTGCTAATTTGAATAGAATCAGCTCCAAAATTAGGACTGTGTCAATGGTGAGTTTATTCCCAGGGCACTTTCTCAGATGATACTGGGAGCCGGGCCTAGGAACCAACGAACCAACCGCAGGCCTTTCTCTGGGATGAAAACCACGCGCAGGTTAGGCACACACGGAGAAGCACGGACTTCTTTCCCCGGGATTCTGAATGTTTTAGGCAGAATTTAAAAATCCCGGGAACCGCTAACTGGCCCCGATGCTGCGCCTGCACGTCTGACTGATCTTGTCAAGTAAGACGCTCTGAGTTGGTTCTGCTGTACATTCATGCGCTTACCGCCCGGCTCCCTGCAGAGTGCACAAGTCATCGTGTGAGTGTGACTGCCACGAAGGCGCTGTATGCTCTGCTGAACTTCTCTAAGGGGCCCGTACTTTTTGGAGCAGATAAACCTACCGTCTGTATACTTTTACTTAAGGGAACAGCAGCCAAAACTTCCAAAGAGAAATACACCGCCCCGGCTCCTGGGCTTAAGGGGGTCTTACTATCAACTGTCAGCAGAAGTCCCCCCCCTCCCCCGGCCCCACCACCAGCCCTTCCTCCTGACCGAGGAGGGAGAAGCCAGCAGCGCACCTGGGCCAGGGCAGGTGCCGTCAGTGGCGCTGGATTCTCGGTGTGCGCCCTTCCCCATGCCTCTGGCCACTGCTCCCTGCCCATCATCCTAAGGAGAGGACCGCTGGGGACTTGAGGCCGCCCCTAAGCCACCCACGGCACCAGGGCTGACATCTGCCGTCCCGATTGTCACTGGAAACACGATCTCTGATGGGTCTTTTCTAAAATGAACTCCGGCTCCAATGCCACGGAGGTCTCCAGATGCAAACTCACCACAAGAAAGTGGGAAAAGGAGACACCCCGCCCCAGCAGCTGAAGTCATCCATTATTTATGGAACGGAGGGAACTTTAGCCACGGGCCATATGGAAGGGCCAGACCCGGGCCTCGAGCTTGCCCTGAAGGTCAACACTGGGGAGGCACTGCTGGCCCGAGCTGCGCGAGGCCCGGCCTCTGAGTCCGTGGGCCCAGGGCGCCCACCGGTGTATTCCACCCACAACTAGAAATGGGAACCACTCCCACCCCCCCCTCCATCCCAACACAGGGTCCATCAGAAAGCACACACAGTCGTGGGCAGGAGGGTGACTTGGGGGGATGGAGGATGGGGAGGGGGGATTAAACCAGAAAGTAAAGAAATGCTCAACAAAGGATGGGAGACTTGTCAAAAGAGACAGGTTAAGTAGCCAGCCTGAAGAGGCACCGCTGGCCCAATTGAACCAATATGAGCACCAAAATGAACAATGATAATACAGGACATAAGCCATGAAATGAAGAAAGAAGCCAGGACTCTGACACACACTCTCCTGGGTCCTCACTGTGTGCAGGAGAAGAAGGGAAGCAATGAAAACAGTGCGCACAGATGACGGGCGGGAAGACTCTCACTCGGCAGCCCTCACAGGGACCGACGCGGGGAAGGACCTGGGGCCGAGACCAGGGGAGAAGCCCGAAGATCACAGCACATTCACATGTCTCAGGCGTCCTCCCTGCACCTCGCTCAGTAAATGCCGTGGGAAGGTAACAGCTTCCCAGCGCAGGAAGCAGACTCTCAGTGACCACGTGGTTCAGGCTGTCCTCACCGTGCGGAGATAAACTGCCGTCACGTGACCTCCGACTGGGCTGCCAAATACTCCTGCCCAAAGCGTACAACTCGAGGCTCATCAGAACACCTGGGACAGACCCACACGGAGGGACAGTCTGCTACCTGCCCGGTCTGTTCTCAGAACACATCCCTGTCGGGGGACACAGTGCCAACTGACACCCACCCCATTTAAATGCAGCCCAACTGGCCACCCTCCGGAGACGACAGCAGCTTCACAAAAATCTGTCTGTAACTTACCTCAACGTTCCATTATTCGATGGATCCTATAAAAATTTAATATACCTCTTGCCTCAGGTAACATTTTCAGCTAATTTTGTCTCCCTCTCCCCTGTGACCAAACTGAGGTGACTGGGCAAGGCATGCTGGCACACTGGACAGTAGCCCCCTGCCCCCCATCCGAGGTCTCGTTCTCCATGGTCAACGGCACCTGAAAATATTAACATGGACATGCGCCAGCGTCCCGGTCTTGACCACGACCACCAAGACCAGGGCAGAAAACTCACCTCAACCCCTGAGCTTCCCCACTCACCGCCCGAGCTGCCCACCGATGTGCCAGGAGGGAACGGGCAGACTGCAAACAGCTGCCGAGCTCCAAGAGTTATTCTAGTGGCTAAAGCGGAAAGTGGACAAAGGCACCGCCATACTGTTTCACTAAGAGCATAACTGTGCAGAGCCCGGCCTCGCACGCCCCTGAAGGCGGCCCAAGCAGCTGAGAGAAGACGAAGTGAGGACCAAGCCATTACGCAGGGTCCGTCCCGTCAGCTCCTCTGACTAATGACGACGCAAGAGAGCCACAAGGCACAGCAGTCACAGGTGCTCGGTGGAGGATTTAGCTGTTTGCAAGATCCCACCAACCACACACAGTTCCCACCTCAGACCCGGCCCCGGACACCAGGGCAAAGGACCTGCAGCGTGTCCGGGACACCAGCCTCCAGCAGGACGTGGGGGCTCTCCCACCGGCCCACACCCGCCACTGCCGAGTCAACGCCACGGCTGGCCTATGCGCGACCCCATGGGGCGCCTAGAGGCCTCTTGCTTCTACCCCTGCCCCTTCTAAGCCACTTTCCGGAGAGACACCTTGGGGTCTTTTCTTCAAATCTGATCACTGCAGCTCTCCAAAGAGCTCCCACCGCCTGAATGGTCAAGATCAGGATGGTCACCCTAACCCCGTGGTCGGCAAACTGCGGCTCGAGAGCCACACACGGCTCTTTGGCCCCTTGAGTGTGGCTCTTCCACAAAATACCATGTGCGGGCGCGCAAGTACAGTGCGATTGAAACTTTGTGGCCCATGTGCAGAAGTCGGTATTTTATGGAAGAGCCACACTCAAGGGGCCAAAGAGCCACATGTGGCTCGCGAGCCGCAGTTTGCCAAGCTGCAGTTTGCTGACCACTGCCCTAACCTGTTCTTGGTCTGCTCTGCCCCCTCCCGCAGCCACTGCCACACTGGCCACTGCCCAGGGGCCTTTGCAGCCTGGAGCCCTCAGCTAGAAGTCCTTCCCCAGACCATCACGTGGCTGGCCGCCTCCCACCATGGCAACCTCAACTCCTACTCAGAGACCTGTTCTCCACACTCTCACCAAAGACTACTCAGTCCAAGACTGTGGGGCACGGCTACAGTGTTTGGACAGGTTCAAGCCTTGGACTGATGAGAGGGCACAGTCCTCTCGTGGCCACGTGCAAGTCCCAGCTTGGAGGGCAGAGCCTTCCCAGCACAATCATAGCCAACAGCTGTCGTTGTAAGCTTGAACCTATGGTTCGAACACGTGGCCCCACGTGCCTGAGTGATGTGGGCTTGATAGAGTTCAGGTGCATGTAGTTGAGTAGGATCGAAACCCACGAGAATGTTGTAAACATCTTGATCACGCCCCTACTTTGCCTCATGGCATCTACTATAAAATAAAGACACGGCTTGTGAGCGTTGGCGCTGTCCATCAGAGGGGCAGCGTCCCACCGAGACCCAGCTTTCATTCTCTTGTCTGTCTTTTCTAAGCCTTTCATCGCCCCCACTCAGGGTCACTGAACCAGGCTGAGCTGGCATGAGTATGCCATGGCCGTGCCGGCTCCCCACATATGGCGCCCGACCAGGGACTGAGTTCTGGGTCCAGGGCCTGAGTTCGGGCTCCCCACACAAGACATATTATACTAGAGGCTACCGTGGAGGCGGCACAGGCTCTCGCCACCACCGCTGCGCTCGCCAGCCATGAGCCCAGCTTCTGGCTTCGTGCTGCTCCCGCTGTGGGCAGCTCCTGTGTTGAGCACCTGCCCCCTGGTGGTCAGTGCACATCATAGCAACTGGTTGTTCCACCATTCAGTAGATTTGCATATTAGCCTTTTATTATATAGGATAGGATTCTCAGCTGGACACACACACACCCTGCAAGACAAGCTCACTCCTGGAACATCAGCTCAGTGCCAGCCTGCCCACTGGCACACACACTGAATTTCTGAACGAACCGAGCCTGTGGAGTGTGAGAGCTGGCCAGCCCCAACCTCAAGCCTAAAGAAGATGGGCTTGGGCAGGTCCTTGCCAAGGACAGAAGCATCCTACACAGGTTAAAAGAAAGAAGAAACCCCTGGGGAATGTCCATTCATGCCGGGAACATGCGGGAAGGCCCCTAACAGGTGAGGTCGGTCTGTTGAGGACCTCAAGTCTTACAGGCGGATGAGTCCCATCACCCACATCCTGCACCCCACCCTCTGTATTTACTTTTCCCTGGAGTCTTTCGGTTTGACTACGAGTGGGAGCCCACGTCTAGGACAGTGCCTCCAGCACAGATGTGTTTGACTCCAGAGCTTCTCTGGGGTGCTCCAATGCACACCCAATTTATAAGCACTGACCACTGAGTCCCCATGATCCTCCCAAGCAGGCACGGCTGTCCCTGTTTTTAAGGAGAAAAGAGGGACCCAGAGGACCAGCCATTTTCCCAGGGTCACACAGCTACCAAATGGCAGCTGGACACACAAAACAAACAAAACCCCTCAACGTAGGTAATTCACAGTAAATACACAGACATCAGTGCCACAGATCCCATGTCTGCGCACATGCCCTGAGATAATCGAAAGGAAGCGCTGATCCACTAGGTGTACTGGTTAATTATGCGGATTTTTTCCAATAGATGGAGTTACACGTATGTTGATTTATATGCGATCTGATATGTATGCTATTTTGTTGTATTGACAACAAGCTTCAAAACTTCATGTCAAAATTTCTGAAGGTGTTAACATCATAGATATTTTTTACGCTTAAAAATGTCAAATTTCCAGCCGTTATGCATTTGCTACAGCTCATGTTCACGGGGCAATCTACCAGGAGAGAGGGCTGTTGACAGCAGAGGGACGGACAATAAAAAATAAGCAGGAAATCCTCGACCTGCTCTCAGCCTTATGGCTTCCTGCCAAGTTAGCCATAATCCACTGCCAGGGACACCAAAAAGCCAATGACCTGGTAGCTAAAGGCAACCAAAAGGCTGACGAGGCTGCAAAGGCAGTAGCCCTTACCTCGGTCCCTACCATGGCCTTACAACTACCAGACCCAGGGGACCCAGTCCTACCAGACCAGCCCAAGTACTCCCAGGAGGAGTTGCAACGTATCAAAAAGCTCCCTAAAGCCCAGGAAATAAAGGGATGGTGGCATACACCAGAAGGAGAACTTATACTGCCGGACTGGCTCGGGGACACGATATTAAAACATATGCACCAATCCACTCACCTGGGAGCCCGGAAAATGAAGGACTTAATCCAACATGCTAGGATCAAAATTCACCAGCAGAATACCAAGATAGACCAGGTTGTGTCAGCCTGCAAGACCTGTCAACTCACAAACGCAAGGGTTGGATCAAATAAAGAAGGAACCAGGCTCAGAGGCACCAAACCTGGAGCACAATGGGAGGTCGACTTCACTGAAATTAAACCAGGGAAGTATGGTTATAAATATCTTTTAGTATTTATAGATACCTTCTCTGGCTGGGTAGAAGCATACCCAACCAAGCGTGAAACAGCTCAGACGGTGGCCAAGAAGCTGCTGGAAGACATCTTACCCAGGTATGGTTTTCCTGCTATGATAGGATCCGACAACGGGCCAGCCTTTATTTCACAGGTAACACAGGTAGTAACCAGGGCTATTGGGGCAAATTGGAAACTGCATTGTGCTTATAGACCCCAGAGTTCAGGTCAGGTAGAAAGAATGAATAGAACTTTAAAAGAGACCCTTACCAAATTAACCATGGAGACTGGCGGGGACTGGGTGGCTCTCCTACCGTATGCCCTTTACCGGGTAAGGAACTCCCCTTACACCCTGGGTTTTACTCCCTATGAAATCATGTTTGGCAGGCCACCCCCTATCATTCCTAACCTTAAAGCTGACTTTCTCGCTGAATTTGAAAATCAAGAACTATCTCTTTCCTTAAGAGGGCTCCAGAGGGCACACGAGGACATTTGGCCACGCCTTCGCGCCATCTATGAGACCAGCCCAATTCCAACTCCTCATCAACACAGACCAGGAGATTGGGTCTACGTCAAAAGGCATCATCAAGAAACTCTTGAGCCACGTTGGAAGGGTCCCTACACTGTGGTGCTAACGACCCCCACTGCTCTCAAGGTAGACGGCGTCGCGACCTGGATCCATCACACTCACGTCCGGTCAGCGGACCCATCCACGGTCCAAAAAGACTTCATCACCAAATGGAACGTCGAAAGAGATCAACGCAACCCACTGAAGCTCAAGCTACGGCGTGCTCCACCTGCCTGATGCTGGTGACGTAACTCGCGATCACTCCTGTCGCCAGGAGCCCCCACAATAGACTTAGATGATGCCTGCATCTGCATGGACATGACTCCAAAGAGACAGGGACAATTTATAAAAAAATCGGGGATAGACTTTAGTATCACATGTTTAATAGCGGAAGATTTGGCTGCCTGAAAGCGGCCATGATGCCAGTATTATGTTTCATTGTATTAATATGTTACATTAACCTTTAATTCTCTTGCAGGTTTGAATGTATAGTGGTTGTCCTAAAAAAAGAACTGTGCAGGATGACCCCCGAAAGTAAGGAGTGCCTAGCTGCCAAGAGGGCAGGTGCCCAACTGAACAGGGAATGGTGCCCATCAGGTTTTGGTCACTGTTGAGAGACAGTTGACAGTTGACAGCCTGTGTACTGCTTGCAGGCCTGCATGACCATGCCCATGTCAGGGGTAGTAAAGCTAGAAAAAGCCTGGTTAGAATAAAAATCTAAAGCATGGTTATGCATGAAAAGAAATTAGCAAAGAAAATCAGAAAATCTTAGAATAAATCAATATATTTTTCTTCTTATATAATTCCTCCGAAATCTAGCAATACATCTCTTTGCATAAATTCAATAAGACCAGTTTCTAATAATGGTTTTCAATTACCGTTCTTGTTGTATTTATGCAAACATCAGAATAGTAGATAAATTAATCTCGATTTGGCTTTTTAATGGCCATGGAGGAATTTTAAAAAGAAAAATCCTATTTCAATAAAAATTGTTACTTTCCCTTCCACCAGACCATTTGTTAAAATATGCCCAGTACAGGCCTCTAGCGACGGTGGAATAGAAATGCAGCCCGACTCATGATTGAGCCGGAAGTTCCAAGACAAGGGGGGAATGAAAGGGTGAGGGCTATGCGCTCTCCGCCATCTCCTCCATGTTGGGGCCACGTGTAGCCTTCTTCCCGGAAGCCCAGGCCTCTGCTGGCCGCGCCCGGGATTTTAAACTAACCAATGACAATCAAGGAAAGTGCGCGCCATAGATATGACCACATCCTGTGTAACAAGACCCGGCTCACGCCTGGCCAATCGACAGGGCCCACAATCCCCTTGCGTCACCCCCCTATTTAAGCCGGATTTTCCCATGGGAGGGGACTCTCTCTTCCTGTCGCCGGGCCGGCCGGGAGCAGGGCCGGGCCGGCCGGGAACGGGGGTCGGTCTAGCTAGTCCTAAAATAAAAGGTCCTTTTGCTGTTGCATCGGAAAAAAAAAAAAAAAAAAAATGTCAAATTTCATGCCAAAAAAAGAACATTTGCAGTAAGTTTTAATTCATTATTTTGAAGAAAAGTGCTGCTGAAAGTTATCATATACTTCAGGAAGCTTATGGTGAACATGCTCCATCTCAAGACACTTGTGAACGCTGGTTTAAATGCTTTAAAAGTGATGATTTCGATGTGAAAGACAAAGAACGTCCAGGTCAACCGAAAAAGTTTGAAGACCAACAATTACAAGCATTATTGGATAAAGGTGCCTGTCAAACTCAAAAACAACTTGCAGAAAGATTAAACATTGTTCAGCAAACAACTTCCGATCGTTTACAAGCAATGGGAAAGATTTTAAAGGAAGGGAAACCGAAAAGTCATCAGTAAAATGTTGCTTCAACAGCACGAAAGTCTTTTTTGCATCGAATTGTGACTGGTGATGAAAAGTGGATTTATTTTGAGAATCCCAAATGCACAAAATCGTGGGCTGATCCAGCTCAACCATCAACATCGACTGCAAGGCTAAATCGCTTTGGAAAGAAGACAATGCTCTGCGTTTGGTGGGATCAGGAATGTGTGGTGTATTATGAGCTTCTAAAACCAGGTGAAACCGTTAATACCGATCGCTAGTGACAACAAATAATCAATTTGAACCACGCTTTGAATGTGAAACAACCAGAATGCGCCAGAAGACATGGCAAAGTAATTTGGCTTCATGATGACGCACCATCACACACTTCAAAACCAGTTAAAGACACGTTAAAAGATCCTGCCTGGGAAGTACGAACCCACCCGCCGTATTCACCAGACCTTGCTCCTTCAGATGACCACTTGATCTGATCGATGGCACACGCACTTTCTGAGCAGCACTTCAAAACGTACAAAAAAAGTGGAAAATTGGGTCTCTGAATGACTTGCCTCAAAACAAGAAAAGTTCTATTGGGAAGTATCCACAAATTACCCGAAAGATGGGGAAATGTGTAGCTAGTGATGGACATTACTTTGAATAAAGCACTTTTGATGTTTCTCTTGAAATTATCGTGTTTTCTTTGATTACAAAATCCGCCATTATTAACCGGTACACCTAGTAGGCACGATCTCGGCGACATCTGGGCATGCTCACTGTAAAGTGGGGGTACAGCAGGATGCTCTTTGGCCAGCCAGCACTGAGCACCTTGGCTGTTGCAGGTCCCAGGAAGAGCGAGGAGAAAGCCCTGGTGGCATAGTTAGGATAATTAGCTTTATCTCTAAATCTTGCATTTTGTTGCTTGGCCTGCTGCCTCCCAATCAGAAGCATATAATCCTGGAAACATCAAGATGATCAGCAATTTTTTCCCTATTTGAAAAAAAAAGCAACACATATTCATTACAAAACAATGGGGCCGGAGAATGGAAAAACCCACCCTCAGTTTCCCAGCTAAAGATAACCACCGTGACACACTCGTCAGACTCCCCCAGGAGTGTTTGCCAGGCCTTCCTGCCGTAAATGTGCATTCAATGTTGGACCGTTCCCTCCAAGACAGCCTTCCACTTAGCTGGTTCCACTCGTAAAGACGCCGTTTTAAAAGGATCAGCTCTTCTCCACTCTTGCCATCCACACCCTGTAGAAACTTCTCCCTGAGGTCACCGGGTGGGGAGGGAGGTTACTAGGTCAAAGGGCATGCATGCTATTTCGGAAGGCGGGTTGGTTTCCAAGTCCAAAGATTACAACTGATTACTTCATCGTCACACTCTGACAGGACCTTACTAACCTTTCTCACAGACACACGGACACACATGTGCATGTCCACATGCATGCACACGACAGCCGTGCTACTGTTCTCAAGCCGGGCCTCTGGATGCCTTGGAGTAAAGCCGAGGCAGTGACAGGTGTCTTGCCACAGGAAGGGCTAGCCGGAACAAACCAGTTCCTTCCAGTAACATCGAGCGTCAGACGTCAGACGTGGGCACAGCTTAGGCTCTGGAGCCAGGACACTCGAAAAGCACCCACCTCTACACACTAGAGCAGGGGTGGGCAAACTTTTTGACTCGAGGGCCACAATGGGTTCTTAAACTGGACCGGAGGGCCGGAACAAAAGCATGGATGGAGTGTTTGTGTGAACCAATATAAATTCAAAGTAAACATCATTACATAAAAGGGTACAGTCTTTTTTTTTTTTTAGTTTTATTTATTTCAAATGGGGCGGATCCGGGCTGCGGGCCGTAGTTTGCCCACGGCTGCACTAGAGTGACACTGTGAGACGCTCACGCTCAGAGCGTGACGGTGCTGCTGCACCTGGCACCCAGGGACCAGGCAGAGCACGCTGGGCTCTGTCCTGCCTCGGGGTCCTGGCTCCTGCCTTCTCCTCGGCTCCCTCATTGCAACTGAACAGCACCTGCGCACCTCTAACTGGGTTACAAACACCCCAATGTTTTGGGGAAATGAGCTTCCCCGTGTCCTGAGATCTGAGAGCTGAGGACGTGCCTCGGGGCACATCCACGGGACCCTGCGGCCCACGAGGAAGGCAGAGGACAGGCCCAAGGACAAGTCTCACCACCCACCAGAGGAGGCCCACCCTCTGCCCGCCCTCCCGGACCTGCTGGCCACTCCGTGGAGAGCAGCCCCGCCCTCGTATATGGGACAGCAGTGCAGCAGGTCCTATTTTAGGCAGATTTTCCACATTAGAAAGCAAATTGGTGAAGATGACTGTACAGCACACCTCTACTCCTGACAGTCTGTTTAACTCCAAGTCAAACACCGAGGCCGAGATTGAGCACGTCGAGGTCACAGCCGGCCTTCCCGGGGCTGGGCCCCGCCCCTCGCTCCCACACAGCTGGGCAGGAACTCGCTGACCTAATGTTACTGGACAGATAATTCCTCCCCTTGGGGGAAGGCTGGCAAAGCCCATGGCACCTGCCATTTCCAATCTATGTTTTGAAATGGCAAACAGGGGCCTGTGCCAGGAAGCTTGGGGGGCAGTGTGGACGCAATCCACACCCGGAGTGAAACTCCCAAATTCACCTACAGCCTCGGCGGAGGCACCGCTTTACACCAGAAAACCCGGCGCCGGCTTCCACCCGAATCATCTCAAAGCCTCTGCTGCAGAAAATAATTGAATTAAAGAGTTGCCATAATTCGTTCAAGTGAGATAGCAGCCAGCCAGCAGGGAGCAAAGGCAGTGCTGCTCGGATCTGCCATCTTCTCGAGTGAGCAAAGCAAGCGATAGAATGTGGTTCAGAGGACAGATGGGACCTCCCTAATTGTCCCCAGATTCCTAGCAGCAGGGGTGGCAACTAAATGGTTTCAATTAAAAGTTAAAGGAACAGGGAAAAGCAGGCGGTGAGTTATGCCTGTGCCGATAAGCTCCTTTGGTCGAATCTGGGGGTGGCTTTGCCCCATTTCAAACAGCCCAGTGCCCACGGCATATGAGCAGTGAGCCACCCCACCAAGTGGTCGTGACCAGGGGTCACAGATCGGTTGGTCAGATGCCCTGTCTTGAACGCCCATGTGAGTCTAATGGAGGTGAGGCTGGGCCCAAGCCCCCCCCCGCCCCCACCCCCCGCCCCGGACAGCAGGGAGCAGCACAAGCCAACACGGGTAGGGGTCACCCCTTCCCAGAAGGTGCAGAACCGCCTGAGGACGGATCTCCGTGCCACTCTGGGCTCAGCACCAACAGGGTTGGTCCATGTGGCTCGAGCCCAAGGACGCCAGGCACGGAGTCAGCATCCACCTGTGCCCAGTGATCACTAGCTGGGGGTGGGGTGTGTGTGTGACCAGGGAGGGACCAGGCCTTGCTCCCCGCTGCAGGTGAAAGCCCCGTCTTGCCGGGCCTTCACCTCCTCAGCCTAACAGTCCTTTCTCAGGAAGCTCTTGGAACAGCACACCCAGAGGCAAAGCAGGAGAATAAACAGAGAGGGGGTCTTGCCCCCTAAATACTTGTAGGTTTGGTTTTTGTGCCCTTTGTGTGTGTGTGTGTGGGTGTGTACAGTGGGGCCTTGACTTAAGAGTTTAATTCGATCCGAGACCGAGCTCGTTAAGGAGCTCGTTAACTCAAATTACTCTATCAACTCAATGCAAAAAATCGGCTGAGAGACAGCTGGTATCTCAAAAAACTCGTTAGTCGGGACACTCGTAAGTCAAGGCCCCACTGTATAGCAAAACCAGATAGTAATACATGTTTACCATGACAAAATATCTGGGGATAAAATTTCAATATTCCTTAATTACACAGAACACCGTTAGTTAACTTTTTGTTACTGTACTTAGTATTTCCTGCTCCATCTTCTTTTCTGAGAGCAGGCACTGAACTCGGTTTAAAAGGCAAGAAAAATGCAAAATAAAACAAAATAACAGGGTGATCGCAAAATTCCTGCATGATTTGAGACCAGAGCCTCAGGCATCTCACACGGACAGATCCACAGTCCTTATTTCCCAGCGCAAAACCCACCCAAACCCACAGCCAAAGAAAACAAAGGAAGAATAGTGTCTAGTCCCCAGAATGCAGATTAAGTCACATGGCTGTTTACAAAGCTAAGTGTGGAGAGACCTCCACTCGGTCAAGTTATTAGACAGAGCCCTGCCTGATAAATTCTCATCTAAGATGACTCACATACATTAAGGTTAAAAAAGAAAGAAAAAGAAAGTTACTTCTAACTCAGGTAAGAAATACAGAAGTCTACGTAGCATGAAACATCTCCCAGAGGTTTGTTTAGCAAAATTAACTAGCAGGTTAATAGGGGGGTAATGCCTGATATACAAGAGTGCCCCAATTTCTTCAGAGAAATTAACATTTCAATCCTGTTTTTATCTAGAAGTCATTAAACTGCACCATGAATTATTGGAACTGTAGGAGCGAATTAACGCTATTCATCAGCGGAGTCCAGGCCCTTCCGAGTGCATCCGTAATGGAAAAGCAGCCCCTCACTTCTATCGCTGCTCATTACCGTACGCCAGCTTTGCCTCTCAGTATATAAAACTGTCCTCTCTTCCGTAATTTATATTACCACAAGCTGACTCACATTCTAAACTATTACACGCCTCCAATTAATTTTTGCAGCTTTTGCCGGAAATTTTAATGATAGTAGTGTGTGAACCTGCTGACTGTGGACTGCGTGTGCCCTAACATTCATGTTGGCATAACAGCATGATCTGAGCCATGCTCGCTGGGTAGGTAAACCAGGTCCGCTCGTGGTCCTTTGAAATCCGATGATAAAACTGACTGGGGAGGAAGGAGGAAAAGGCTGCACAGTCCAATCACCCCAACTCCACGGCTATAACATTTCAGCCAACAGTGAAGACGGGCGACTGTTTCTCTAAGACCTCCATTCTCTCCCTTGGGAGCTAAGAGAGCGGTTGCACCCAGATGAGGACAGGGGTCCGAGAAATTCCTCACCTGGTCCAGATGCAGGTGCCCCCCAGTCACACATGCCACCAGCAGGGTCTGTACCCCCCGTGTGTATGAGTGAGCATGTGTGAGTGTCTGCAGGGGTTTGTGTGTGTGCTTGAGTGTGCAAGTTCAGTCAGAGATGAGTAGGTCCGGGTGCTGGTAACTCGAAAACAGGCTGTCTGCAATGATTACCTTTGCCAAGGTGTCTACAGGCGCAGACAAAAGGAACCTGAAGCCAGTGATGACAGCACAGCAGCCAACAACCGCCTTCATACAGTGCACACGGAAACCTGGGGAGACCACCTTGGCCATCAGTCACTGCCAGGGCGGGAGCCGGGGGTGTTCAGTCCTGGGAACAGGTGTGGGCCTGGGCAGGTTGCTCCAGAATCCCAGCCTGTTCCTTACTTGTCCCCACCCCAGCCATACCTTGCAGTGCCAGTGGGCCTGGAGGCGGTTGGCTTTTGCTGAACAGAGAGAGAGACACACACAGAGACTCTGGGGTTTGAGCCCCCCCACCCCTGCGCTGGTCCAGCCTGGGGGCCCGGCTCCTGCGAAGTCCAAGATGCATGTCCTAGTCTGGGCCCACCTGGCTTGGTCTGTGGGGAATGGAGCTCCAAGCCCCACACATGCATCTCAACTGAGAGCATTTAGCTTGTCAGGAAGCCTCTTCCTAGAGGCTGTTTGTAAACAAGCTTGAGAGAGGACAGAACACCCATCAAGTCAACAGCCAATCAGGTGCCTTCAACATCAAACCTTTTACCACCAACACCGGAACTGTGTGGGGAGCTGGTAATGGAGCAGAGCATTCTGGGTGTGCGGGTCCAACCCAGACCCAGGTTCCGATCCTATTCCGCTCCTGCCAAGTGTCAGGAGACGTTGATTAGCCTCCATTATCCATTAAACTCAGGAGAAATAAGGGCACTCCCCAAACTGGCAGGACCACACACACACAGGGAATGTGATGGCGCTG